CTTTTATTCCCAATCCACAAACTTAGTACTGCCCACAGGGTTTTACATAACAACCAATAACACGCGTACATTACAGAAAGACACTCCCACACAAAATCCTCCCCTCTGGCTGTGATATGATTACTGAACACAATGGTTAATCTAATTATCACAGCAAGAGAAATACAGTTTCATAAAACACATCACAGGGACCCCAAAACATGCAATAACCCCATAAATGTATATCCTTGGAACTGGGGGATCTGGGTGAACCACATATCCAAAATTCACCCAGATCCGTTCAGTACTTTGGAAAATACAGTTTAATGCAGATTCTGCAGAACATATACAGGCTAAATGAAAAACATTCACTGTATAATGTGTCCCCTGCTGTAGAGTCCAAAACCACTGCACGATGTCTCTGTGCACCAAATACTGGCGAGATGGCACCGTGTTGAAAAGTCCAAACAGTGTCTGTGAGTTAAAATGGCCGCCATCCATTGTTCTCACCATGTGCTTCTGATACAGGAAATGGTGGCCACCCAGTAACTCCACAGTATGTCCCCAGATGGTTCTTAAAGGGCCAGCAGCAGCACAACACAAATCCATAATGCCCAAATCATGTCTTTAAAGGGCAATACTTTCCAGGGGCCCTAGTCACATGGCAGGAGGCTGGCAATCAGTCTTCTCCAATGCCCAGTGGTGAGGTTGGTTTCGCCAAAGGGATCAATATCTTCAGATCATCTTAAAAAAAGATCAAAGGAGAAAACAGAGGGCTAAGAAAGGAGGAGATTGACTGACTAATGGCAATAGACTGAATTACAGACCAGAGCACCCAGAGAGAAGAATCCCAAATTGAATTAATTCATCCTAGACTCTTGGTAATGTATAAAGGTTTCTCTTTACTTTATATTAAATAAACTGGACTATTGAATGCCCTATATGTCTATATTGTGAACTGATCCCTATTGATAGAACAGTTATATCTCATTCTACCTGCAGCCTGAGTCAGATTTAACTTCTTAAGTCGGAACATTCTTGATTCCTTCTTTAGACGTAGATCAGTTCAATATATATACTAAGGCTATCAGAAACCTTATATAAACGTACTGTAGTTAAACTGATGGTATATACTTAGCAGGGTTGGTTGATATTTAACTAATTAATATAATGACAATTGTATCATTAATGCAAGGGGTGTCATATGATTAATTCTGTATACTGGTATTGCTGTGAAGTTATTTAATAGCTTTTATTGTCCTTTGTTGATAAGATTATAGATGAGACAAAGTGTAATGTTGACTCTTAGGCTTGTCAAGTAAACTAATTGACTTGTTGACATAAACTCATATATAATACAGCAAATTGATTATAATTGTATTGTTTTGTTGCTTTACATTTTATAGTGTGTATTATTAAATTTATATATATTTTCTAGCAAAGTCTGTTTATTGGCCGTCTGCTGTTCATAAGTGTTTATATCACTGCTTAAAACAAACAAAGAACTACAGGGTCCCCGAAGGCTCTATGTGTGTGTGAATATCATCAGCTATTATTCAATCTATATTCCATACATATAAAACCTTAGATGACCCAACATTCCAAAGGGTTCACATACTTTTTCTTGCAACTGTACATGTGAAGGATTATTTGGAGATTCCTGACAGATATCAGTGTTACAATGTAACTTGCGCTAATTTTGAAAAAAAATTGGTTTGGAAATAGCAAAGTGCTACTTGTGCTTATAGCCCTATAACTTTGCAAAAAAAGCTAAGAATATGCTAACATTGGGCATTTCTAAACTGAGAACAAAATTTAGAAACTATTTAACACAGGTGTTTTTTGGCAGTTGTAGATGCGTAACAGATTTTGGGAGTCAAAGTTCGAAAAAGTGTTTTTTTAATGTTTTCATCATATTTTATAATTTGTTTTGAAAATAATGGTATCTTTAGAAAGACCATTTAATGGCGAGAAAAACAGTATATAATATGTGTGGGTAGAGTAAATGAGTAAGAGGAAAATTAAGAGGGGGGTTGGAGGAGGGATGATATACCACTGCACATATCCCATATCAAAATTTTCAGTCATAAAAAAATTTAAAGACTGGTTGGTTGGATAATATTTGTTATATTGATAGATAATAATAATTTATAAGTTACATAGTTACATAGCTGAAAAGAGACTTGCATCCATCAAGTTCAGCCTACCTCACATTTGTTTTTTGCTGTTGATCCAAAAGAAGGCCAAAAACCCAGTTTGAAGCACAATTTTGCAACAAGCTAGGAAAAAAATTCCTTCTTGACCCCAGAATGGCAGTCAGATTTATCCTTGGATCAAGCAGTTATTACCCTACATTGAAAGATTATATCCTTGAATATTCTGTACTTGCAAGTATGCATCTAGTAGCAGTTTGAACATCTATATGGACTCTGATAAAACCACTTCTTCAGGCAGAGAATTCCACATCCTGATTGTTCTTACAGTAAAAAAACCTTTCCTTTGCCTTAGATAAAATCTTCTTTCATCCAGTGTAAACGCATGGCCTCGTGTCCTATGTAAAGTCCGGTTTGTGAATAGATTTCCACACAATGGTTTGTATTGGCCCCGAATATATTTGTATAATGTAATCATATCTTCTCAACATAACATAACACAGTTTAAGAAATACAATTTCCAATCTAAAATCCTGTCATATCTGCAAATACCCATAAAAGACTTACTCAAAGTTAGATTTTAGCTCCTGATAGGCACACTAGACATTTGCCCATCATTAGATTTATACCTCCTATATTCAGCTCAAATTTCCAAACAGGCCCAGAAATGTTATAGGTGAAGGAAACAATAAGTGGCATCCCCCTTGTGTGTCAGACCAATCCAAATAGAAAAATTCTACTTTATTTTCTTTTGTGCTTTCTACAGTAATAATTTGTTACGGCTCCCCCGGTAGGAGAGGGGTTACAGCCGTATTAGACGTTCCCTTCCCGAATACAGAGGTAGCCACTGAGCACTCCAAACTGCCGAACAGCAATCACACGAACCAATAAGTCTCCCAAACAGCTGAACAGCAATCACACGAAACCAGCGAGTCTCCCAAACAGCCGAACAAGCGTAATCCATAAGAATAATTCCCCCAATGATGAGACAAAGCTCCGTATTGACGGTCAGCAGGAATCTGGTTTATTGAGGGCTACCTGCCCGGTATTTATGCAGGTCTCCCACCTGGTGGACACTCCCCTAGGGGACCAAATGGGAGACTGTGACAAGGACATTACAACAATCAATCACAGTGTTACACATGTAGCCATGCCCCTTTAATTACCCAAGACCCTCTGCTCTGCCCAGGGAGATAATGGTGAAGTAATTCAATTATCTCCCTGGACAAAGACCAAACGCCATTTTAAGTGACTAAAACAAAATGCATAAAAATATATAACTTTACAATAACTGGACATAATACAAGCATTCAGCCCCCAGATAGCTGGGATCTGAGCGCACAAAAGTACCGAATAGCGCTCAGATCCTATGCACACAGTCCAATCGCCGTGGAGTCAAAGTGTTCACAAAGTCTGTTCTCCATACAAATAGACTCCACGGGATGGCTATAAGGGGAATGGCTTATTCATGGACAAAATACCGAATACAGGGACCTTCGTGAGTTTTCTACTGAAGGAGAAGGGAAGTCGGCGTTCATGTCAAAAAGTGTCAGTTTTGAGTTCCGTGAGTTTACCGCCGAACACCGCTGAGCGTTAGTGGATTTAAAATGGCCGCGACCTCATGTTCGGGATATGAATGGTGGCCACCCAGCTACAGGCATCAATTAAGAGGTGTCTGCGGTTATCCTCAATGTTCTAATGGGGCCAAGAGGTTAACCAGCAGCACACTTCTCTACTGGGTGGCCGGCCGTTGGGGAGTTTTATGCGGTAGTTAAAAAGGGAACGGTATACAGTCCACATGAACGGGAAAACATGAATTAAACTAAAGAATGAATAATAAGTCTCTGTAAATTCAAGACAGAGAGATCTGTCACATAATTCATGCATCTATTATTTTTATTTTCAAATTAACAAGTCCATAGATATGTCACACCTCCTAGTTATGACTCAATACCATTGACTTCACAATTCATACCAAACAGCTTGCACTAACCATATTTTTACTCTTTTTATTTAGGGTGTGCTTTCCCCATTCTGAATGTGCACAAAAGAAGACATGAATATTAATCTGTGGGTTATTATTAATGAAAGTTAGAATAATTTTTTCTACACCCAAAATTCATTAGTGTGATGAAAAATACACTTATCTAAATGGATAGTGGTGACAACTTCCTCCAGGAATATCCCAGAATGTATTCCTTTAATATAAATTGCACTAATAGGGTTGCACTCACAGGATTGAGACTGGTATATCGCCTTAGGGTGCATCCCCTGATGTAGATGGGGGTCTGAATCACCATCTTCCCATTCAACTGCAGTATGAAGAGTCTGTGTTTTCTCACATCCCCAGCTGTTCCCCATCTATTCTCATCAATATTTTCTTATTCCCGGTCTTCCGTGTTCACCTCGCATTCCACTTGGTGGCTGTCATGCGTTACACCCTCGGTGTGCAAGGTAGACTCAGATATTTTCCTCCCCCCATTAAATCAATATAATAGAAGCCTGACGGGCTCATGAATAGAAGAAGAAAAAAGTGTATATACTGGCAGACAGACAGTTAGTCCCCTTATGGAAAAAATAACCTAATCCTCTTTTAGAAATAATACAAAATTACTTTAAATTAAATGTTTTAAAAGCAGATGTTTAGTGTATAGTGTCCAAGTATGTTTCATGCATTTCACTAAATTATGTTACTGTAACAATGCTTTTGTTGTCCTTTATTTGCCTAAATGTATTAAATCAGGAATCATTAGTATGTTGGGTAGTGTTGCTTCCAAAAGTGATCATCTCAGGGAAGTTTTTGTTCTGTTCACTCAAAAAAACGAATCCCTTTAAAAATGAGAAGTTATCTTAAAATGCTCTTTTTTTATATTAAATGCAATAAGTGACAATAAACCTACAAAAGCTACAAAACTTCACACAGCCCAGCCATGAAACCTTGGCTAACAGTTAAATCAACTGAGTAACCCTTTCAATGCTGGCTAGATCCTCCTAGGCATATAATAACCTATTCTCATGTAATTTTCAATTAAAATAACATTCGAACCAGCTCATTAATCATTTCCTGGAACCATCCAATAAGAATAATCTGCCAGATTTTTACAAAAGCCGAATTTTAATTTGCCTAAAAAGATATCTTATCTTATTTTAGAGCAAATCAATACACCTGGATAAAAACAGCGGTATGCTAACACGTGATAATATAACATTAATATATAATTATTCTTAATTCCACCTGCAGAATGGAATGTTTATAACTATATATTCTTTAGTTAACTAAGATTTCTAAATATTGAAATCTGACCGTGATTTATCCAGTCATATATCATGCTATTAGTAAATTTTAATTAATTTAGATTAATTAAATAAAACCAGCATAATTACCAGTTATGTAGGTATTCTCATCAGATGAGTAGGTAGTCCCAGGAACTTGCGAGTATGATTGGTTGTATGGAGGTGCGTGAGTAATAGAGAAAAATGGTGTTGGTTAGAAAGTATCAGTAAATTTTAAGTGTCAAGGAGTTTAAGAGTTAAGTGTTAGTCCCAGAGAGTGTCCTGAATCTCTCTCTCTGCATGTCCGAATCTGAATGCCCAAACTCCACCAACTACCTTCTCTCTTCCCTGTGTCCTAACTTTTAAAGGGCCAGACTCTCTGTACGTCATTAGTTGATAAAGCCAATAGGAAACTGTAGGTGTGTTCAACCTTCAGATCGCAATTTAGGTATTTGGTCCATAGAGGGCAGTCTCGCCTTACTAAACATTCCTATCCAGGAAAGAGTTAACTTTTCCTGATGACGATTTTAACGTCATTTGGCTTATCTAAAATGACTATCATAACTTAAATTTGCTGTCAGTTCAAAGCGTTTGTCTCAGTCTTTGTGGCAACTACTTTGATCGTAATTTCTAAACTCAATTTCACCCCTTACTTACAATGTGACCTTGTAAAATTTAGAAAGTAAAATTAATTACTTAGTCTTCTCTGTCACTAGTGTCTGTGTTTATATAATGCATTCCTTAGCTCAGGCCCAGTGGTTAGTGAAAGCAAGGAAATTATGTGTCTTTGTTATCCTGACGATAACAAAACGGAGTCTGCTCTGTTCTGAGTGGCAATATACACTTTTAATTTCTTTCTTAGCACAAAATGTCTGCCGATATAAATATTCTGACAGGTTTCTCTCCTGTGTGAGTTCTGTTATGATTAACAAAATGTGATTTATGGATAAAACATCTTTCACATTCCGAACATGAGAATGGTTTATCCTGTGTGAGTTCTCTTGTGCACAACAAGATGTGATTTACGGATAAAACATTTTCCACATTCCGTACATGAGAACGGTTTCTCTCCTGTGTGAGTTCTCTTGTGCACAACAAGACTTGAGTGGTTCTTTAAACATTTCTCACATTCAGAACAGGGGAAAAGCTTTGATTTTCTGTTTACCATTTCATTTGTAGGCATATACGATTGTAAAGGATTTCTTGAGTTTTTAGAGTTGGAATTTTTGGTCCTTGTATTGAAAGATTTCTTCATAGTCTTGCTTACTGTATTTCTAAGTATGGTAAACTTAAATAACTTATAGCAACAGATTTTCTTTAACTCCCAGTACATTTCTCTCAGATTTTTTTCCCAGCAGTAAGTTATCAAGAAGGACCTGAGAAGATTATTGCAAGTTCTGTTTAATTAAGATTTTCTTATCCCCTGCTATGTTAATAGCTTGCTAGACCCTGCAAGAGCCTCCTGTATGTGATTAAAGTTCAATTTAGAGATTGAGATACAATTATGTAAGGTAAATTTCATCTGTTTGAAAGTGAAACCATTTTTTTTTTCATGCAGGCTCTGTCAATCATAGCCAGGGGAGGTGTGGCTAGGGATGCATAAACAGAAACAAAGTGATTTAATTCCTAAATGACAGTGAATTGAACAGTGAAATTGCAGTACAACTGCAGTAATTTAGGTGACTATAGTGTTCCTTTAAGTGTTTCTATCATATCCCCACTGTCTCGTCTTTTCTCCAAGCTATACATGTTAAGTTTCTTTAACCTTGTCCTTGTAAATTTTATCCTGCAATCTCGGAACCAGTTTAGTAGCCCTTCTCTGAACTCTCTCTAAAGTATCAATATCTTTCTAGAGATACGGTCTCCAGTACTGCGTACAATACTCCAAGTGAGGTCTCACCAGTGTTCTGTACAATGGCATGAGCACTTCCCTCTTTCTACTGCTAATACCTCTCCCTATACAACCAAGCATTCTGCTAGCATTTTCTGCTGCCCTATTATATTGTCTGCCTACCTTTAAGTCATCAGAAATAATCACCCCTAAATCCTTTTCCTCAGATGTTGAGGTTAGGACTCTATCAAATATTCTGTACTCTGCCCTTGGGTTTTTACGTCCAAGATGCATTATCTTGCACTTATTCACATTAAATGTCAGTTGCCACAATTCTGACCATTTTTCTAGTTTACTTAAATCATTTGCCATTTGGCTTATCCCTCCTGGAACATCAACCCTGTTACACATCTTAGTATCATCAGCAAAAAGACATACCTTACCATCAAGACCTTCTGAAATATCACTAATAAAAATATTAAAGAGAATGGGACCAAGTACAGATCCCTGAGGTACCCCACTTTTGCAAGCCCAAGCTTCGAATATACTCCATTGACTACAACCCTCACTTGCCTGTCACTCAGCCACTGCCTTACCCATTCAACAATATTGGAATCCAAACTTAAAGATTGCAGTTTATTGATAAGTCTTCTATGTGCAACAGTGTCAAAAGCCTTACTGAAATCTAGGTAAGCAATGTCTACTACACCACCCTGATCTATAATTTTAGTTACCCAATCAAAACAATCAATAAGATTAGTTTGGCATGATCTCCCTGAAGTAAACCCATGTTGTCTCTGATCTTGAAATCCATGTGTTTTTAGATGTTCAACAATCCTATCCTTTAACATGGTTTCCATCACTTTCCCACTACTGAAGTAAGGCTTACTGGCCTATAGTTACCCGACTCCTCCCTATTACCTTTCTTGTGAATGGGCACAACATTCGCTAACTTCCAATCTTCTGGGACTACTCCTGTTAACAATTACGGTTTTTACGTCCAAGATGCATTATCTTGCACTTATCCACATTAAATGTCAGTTGCCACAACTCTGACCATATTTCTAGTTTATCTAACTCATTTGCCATTTGGCTTATCCCTACTTGAACATCAACCCTGTTACATATCTTAGTATCATCAGCAAAAAGACATCCCTTACCATCAACACCTTCTGCAATATCACTAATAAAATATTACAGAGAATAGGTCCAAGTACATATCTCTGAGGTACCCCACTGGTGACAAGCCTATGCTTTGAATATACTCCATTGACTACAACGGTCTGTTGCCTGTCACTCAGCCACTGCCTTACCCATTCAACAATATTGAAATCCAAACTTAAAGATTGCAGTTTATTGATAAGCCTTCCATGTGCAACAGCGTCACAAGCCTTACTGAAATCTAGGTAAACAATGTGTACTACACAACCCTGATCTATAATTTTAGTTACCCAATCAAAAAAAATCAATAAGATTAGTTTGGCATGATCTCCCTGAAGTAAACCTATATTGTCTCTAATCTTGAAATCCATGTGTTTTTAGATGTTCAACAATCCTATCCTTTAATATGGTTTCCATTACTTTCCTCACTACTGAAGTAAGGATTACTGGCCTAAAGTTGCCCTAGTACCTTTTTTTGTGAATGGGCACAACATTCGCTAACTTCCAATCTTCTGGGACTACTCCTGTTAACAAGGATTGGTTAAATAAACTTGTTAATGGTTTTGCTAGTACACCACTAAGCTATTTTACTAACTTTGGGTGTAGTCCATCAGGTCCCACTGACTTATTTGTCTTTACTTTTGACAGTTGAAATAGAACCTCTTCCTCTGTAAACTCACAGGTAACAAATGACTCATTTGTCATTTTTCCTAACTGAGGCCCCTTTCCTTAATTTTCATCTGTAAATGCTGAACAAAAATATTCATTAAGGCAGTCAGCTAGACCTTTATCCTCTTCTACATACCTTCCTTCTTTTGTTTTTAATCTAACTAATCCTTGTTTTACATACCTTTTCTCATTTATGTATCTAAAAACATTTTTTTTCCTTTTTTTTTTACTGACTGTGCTATTCTCTCTTCTGTGTGTGATTATAACTTGCTTAGCCTCTTTCTGCCTAATCTTATAGATCATTCTGTATTCCTCACTCTGGGATTTTTGATAATTACTAAATGCTAACTTTTTGTTTTTTATTATTGTGTCCACAACTGCGGAGTATCACAGTAGTTTCTTGAATTTTTTGCTTTTACTGACAAGACTAATGCTATTTTCTGTTGCCATCAGCAGTGCAACTTTTAAATAATCCGATTTCTCTTGGACTCCATTTAAATTGCTCCAGTCTGATAATGACTCCTTTACACATATTCTAATTTTAGAAAAGTCTGTTTTTCTAAAGTCTAAGTCTGTTTTTGTGTGGTGTGACTCAGTCACTGTTCTTATATTAAACCACAATGACTGTATCACTGGATCCTGAACTTTCACCTACATTAATATCTGATACCAAATCTCCATTTGTTAACACTAAATCTAGTATTGCCTCTTTACGAGTTGGCTCCTCAATGACTTGTTTTAGAGACAATCCCAGTAGGGAGTTTAGAAAATGTGTGTTCCTGGCACAAGCAGCAATTTTGGTTTTCCAATTCACATCAGGAAGATTAAAGTCACCCTTGATGATAACTTCCCCCTTCATTGTCATTTTAGCTATTTCCTCAACTAGTAGATTATCTAACTCTTCTATTTTTCCTGGGGGCCTATAAATCACACCTACACGAGTTACTGTGTGATTACCAAATTCAAACATAACCCAAACGGACTCTATGTTCACTTCACTAACTTTTAATAGGCTAGCTTTTATGCTATCCTTCACATACACCCCTCCCCCTTTCTTGCCTTCCCTGTCTGTTCTATATAAAGAGTACCCTGGCATTGCTATGCCCCAGTCATATTTCTCATTATACCATGTCTCAGTAACAGCGACTAAATCTGCATTATCAGTTGCCACTATTGCCACAAGTTCATGGATCTCATTCCCTAAATTGCAAACATTTGTAGACATTACTCTAAGCTTATCATTTTTAATGCACTTGCTACAGTCACCTTCTGTCCTTGTTTAGGGGGGCAAATGGATTGATGTTTTATCACCTTTTTGCCCCTCCCCTCCTAGTTTAAATACATCCTAGCAAAACCTCTGAACTGCTCACTGAGAACATTTGTTCCCTTTTGTGAAAGGTGCAAACCATCTTTTTTGTACAGTTTTTTTTTCCATTCCAAACAGAGTTACCATGAGAAATAAAGCCAAATCCTTGCTCCCGACACCATTCACCAAGCCACAAATTAAAGTCCCTAATACGCATCCAGTATAAAGGTCATCTACTCTGCAGGCAACAAAAAGGTTAAAGGAATACTCCACTAATTTTTTATAACCATCTAGTGGATATCCCACCACTGAAAATGTCCAGACCGGACCCACATCCCAAGTGCCTGGGAATACTCAATGAAATATGAACACAGCATGTAATTCTAAAGGATACGTATTTCAGGTGCTAGCCTGAAAATAAACACATATAAAAAGGGCACAGTTATACCTACTAACAAAATGTGCTATATTGTTTCTGCATGTGTGTTGGCAGGGGGAGGATATATGAAAGAGCAACTACCAAAAGCTGCAGACCTGTTGTCTTTAGTATTTGTAACTCCTCTCCTTTTACCCCAAACTTTCAGTAAATGGAAAAACAAAATATCTACCAAAGGCCTTTTCTTTATCTAAGGCTAGAAACACTGAAGGTTAGAATTACTATCATGAATCTTTATAATTGTTCTTAAATGATTAATAGAGGATCTATTAGAGTCTGCAAGAGAAAGGCTTTCCTATATTGTGAGATGCTGGAATGTAAACTGAATTACAGTTTTAGTATGTCTCACCAGGGCTTCCATTAGACATTTTGGGCCCCTTACAGAGCTCAAAGTCTGAAACCCCTGGGGCTTGCCCCCAAATAAGCCCAGGAGGCCCATCCTGAGTAGACCCACAATGATGCAGTGTGTGTTTGAACACAGATTGTATGTTAGGTAGTGTTTGTGGGTAATAGATGTAGCGTGTTCAGTGGATGTAGTGTTTATGTGTAATACATGAAGTCTATGTAGTGTGTAGTGGATGCAGTTAATATAGTGGATGCAGTTTGTTTGTTAATATCCTATGGATATATTGTGTGTAAATATGTTGTGTAGAATAGGGGCTACATTCTTTGGAAACACTTTTTTAAAAATTATTTTAATAAATTTATTTTATTCCCCTTCCTGCTTCTTATCTGTGTCTAGGGAGAGTACATTCCCTGGAGGTCCAGTGGCTTGAATACTGCAAAAGGGGCCCAACAAGAGCCCTCTTCACTTTCCAGCTGCTCCTCTCTCTCCAACTCTTGCCAGCCTAGCGTTTGTGCTGTGCTGAGCATTGCCACGGTAACCCGTAATAAAAGCTCTTATGGCCGCAGGGCTTGCCTGAATTAGAGAAAGGACCAGTTGGAAGGTGAAGATGGCGCTGGCTAGGCCCTCTCTGCTATATTCATATATAACCGCTATATATATATATATATATATATATATATATATATATATATATATATACACACACATGCACATTGTGACTGTGGGCCCAGTCATATCTCCCACTGCATGAGTTATGCCCTAATGGCAGCCTTGTGTCTCACATTCAAAATACATTTTTTTGAAATTCTTTTTATTGGTTTTTAAAACATTTTACATACAAATAATGGTTCTAAATGAGAACCCAATACTCTCATTCCAACAAAAATTTGGTATGCAAGTTTCTCAACATTGAAAGGGAATATTTAAAACATCATGTGACAAAAAGTTTCATATCATACCAAATACAACATACTACATATACAAGACATACAATCATGGTCATGGATATCCAACTTATACTGTACGGATTAAGATCTTGAATCTATGAACCTTAAATATCAAGATATCAAAGTATCTAATAGACCTATTTGAAACATTTTGATTGCACTTGATAAGGTAAATGATAAGTATATCCCTATCTTTCCAACAACCTGTCTATAGAAGTAAGAGCAAATGGTCATTAAATTGTGTCTCTACCAGGAAGCTATAAGATTAAGAGTATAATACGTAAAAGCATTCCCCAAAAAGTTCAGAGGAATATTAAGGATCAAATCAAGTGTTTGATTATTTGAATATCTGCCCCTGTCCAAATTATTGGTATAAGTGCGTGCACACTCCTAAAGTATTTTCACACCAGATGCAAGTTTCAGGTTGATGAAATGCTTCAGGAATGTTTATTCAGGAGGCGGAGAGCCACTTATAAAGACAGAATACATCATATGCATAATTATAGATAACAGAGAAAATACATCAACAATTGGTGAGGTGTTAAGTGGTTCATCTAATGCACATCCTACAGGGTGTGATGTCACTGTTATCATGAAGTTCTCCTCCAGATTCCAGCGCCATCTTGTTACACGAGGTAGAGTCGACGGAAGGGGGAGCAGTTACTGAACACAGGAGGGGAGAGGTTGGAGGGGGAGCAGTTACTGAACACAGGAGGGGAGGGGTTAGAGGGGGAGCAGTTACTCTAGCAACCAGAGTAACACAGTAAATAATGAGTACAGATGCACAGAGTAAATAGACATTTCACTAATCCTAATTTACGTCCATAACAGGGACTATAAAAATAACGTATAAGAATTGGTCATGGAGTCCAAAATTAACATTTCCACACTAAGATGTTCGCGAATGTAAAACCAATATTTATATAAACCGCAATTTGCTAAATTAGATTATATCTACTATTAAAATACAAGATATTTAATCCATCGATATCTCATAAAAGCTTAAAAGCAACTAAAACAGTTTTCACATTCAGAACACACTTCTATTCAGTGTGAGATCTCTGATGTTTAATAAGACTTACATTATGGCTAAAACATTTCCCACATTCAGGACATGAAAAAGGTTTTTCTCCTGTGTGAGTTCTCTGGTGACTAACAAGATGTGAGTCCCGGCTAAAACATTTCCCACATTCAGGACATAAAAAAGGTTTTTCTCCTGTGTGAGTTCTCTGATGCCTAACAAGAGGTGAGTGACAGCTAAAACATTTCCCACATTCAGGACATGAAAAAGGTTTCTCTCCTGTGTGAGTCCTCTGATGCCTAACAAGACTTGAATGACAGCTAAAACATTTCCCACATTCAAGACATGAAAAAGGTTTCTCTCCTGTGTGAGTTCTCTGATGAACAACAAGACTTCTGTGACAGCTAAAACATTTCCCACATTCACTGCATGAAAAAGGTTTTTCTCCTGTGTGAGTTCTCTGGTGACTAACAAGATTAGCGTATTGGCTAAAACATTTCCCACATTCACTGCATGAAAAAGATTTTTCTCCTGTGTGAGTTCTCTGATGTTTGTTAAGGTATGATTTACTAAGAAAACATTTCCCACATTCAGGACATGAAAAAGCTTTCTCTCCTGTGTGAGTTCTCTGATGAACAACAAGGCTTGTGTGATAGCTAAAACATTTCCCACATTCACTGCATGAAAAAGGTTTTTCTCCTGTGTGAGTTCTTTGGTGATTTACAAGATGAGAGTCACGGGTAAAACATTTCCCACATTCAGGACATGAAAATTTTTTTTCTCCTGTGTGAGTTCTCTGATGAACAACAAGGCTTGTATGACAGCTAAAACATTTCCCACATTCACTGCATGAAAAAGGTTTTTCTCCTGTGTGAGTTCTCTGGTGACGAACAAGATTAGAGTACTGGCTAAAACATTTCCCACATTCACTGCATGAAAATGGTTTTTCTCCTGTGTGAGTTCTCTGATGTTTGTTAAGGTATGATTTACTAAGAAAACATTTCCCACATTCAGGACATGAAAAAGCTTTCTCTCCTGTGTGAGTTCTCTGATGAAAAACAAGGGTTGTGTGACAGCTAAAACATTTCCCACATTCACTGCATGAAAAAGGTTTTTCTCCTGTGTGAGTTCTTTGGTGATTAACAAGATGAGAGTCACGGCTAAAACATTTCCTGCATTCAGGACATGAAAATTTTTTTTCTCCTGTGTGAGTCCTCTGATGTTTGTTAAGGTCTGATTTACTAAGAAAACATTTCCCACATTCATTACATGAGAAAGGTTTCTCTCCTGTGTGAGTTCTCGAATGTATAACTAGACTTGAGTGACAGCTAAAACATTTCCCACAATCAGAACATGGGCATTTTGGGGGTTTTCCATTTATTATCCAATTTGTAGACATACAGGATTCCAAGAGGTCCCTTGATTTTTGAGAGTTAGAATCCTTGGTGCTTTTATTAAAAGATTTCTTCATAATCTTGCTTGGTGTATTTCTGTTCCTGTCACGTTCCTTCAAGATTTCTGCTGGTACTGTGATTTAAAGAAAACCTATTACTATAAATAATTTCTAGCTTACTATATTTGGAAAAACTGACACCATTTTTTTGAAAGATCTGAAATAGGACTATGAAGCTTCCTACTGATTGAGAAGGACCTTTTGCATACTTTAACTCCTTCTCTATAACAACTTAATTTCATTTGGTTTTGCAAAATGTGCTTTGGTCTATATCACCTCACTTAACTACATTTATACCTATTACCAGACAAGCTCACTAACACACACACCCACACACTACAGATAAGCACAATTGCACACATGCTCATTGAAACACACACATGTTCACTATAGAAAAACAATGGTCACGATGATGGTTGGACGTAATGTGCAATTGTTGACATGTGAGTAAAAGAAGCTTTACAAATATTTACTTAATTTTAGAGAGACCCTGTCATTCTTTTCTTCAGGTTTACTTTTCTAATGTCCCTCTATCTAATTGATTACACCCCCCTCTTTGCCACTTGTCCTCATTTATGCTCTTCTGTAAGATTGGTTTTACTTAAAGATTGTGGGTACATTTGCTAGGCAAATTAAAAAGAACCTTGTTTAAAGCTCTGCACTTAGTCAAGCTTCAACAACTTGGCTGCTATACATCATAAGCATGCACACAGGGTGTGCCAGGTGTGCCCAGGTGCTCCATAATGCACCCAATGACTACTTCTTATTGTTGCAAGGTTACCAAAGTCATATGCTGCTTAGCTTACTGTTGGTGCAATAGTACAGCAGAAGAGGCAGGTGCTGTGTCTGCCCAATACTAAAACATATAGTATTAATTTCTCAAGCAGAGTTTCTAAGTGGGCTTAAGTATGTGACATCGAATCCCTTCAACTTCCCATGAGGCTCTGCTCACTGAAAAATTCTGAGTGGGCAGAAGGAAAATAGATCCTCTGCTTCCTCTCCGCCACTTGGTAAGCAGCAGTGTTTTAAATAGACAATTAGTATTGGAAATATTCTTGCCATCTAGTCTCTTCCTTTTAAAAATAAATAAATAAATCAGGATTTCTTTTAATAAAATATTTTTGGAATTAACATCAGGCTAAATCTAGTTTTATATTTTATGTCTTAAAGGGACTTTCCAGTGCCAGGAAAACAATCCGTTTTCCTACCTCGCATGCGCATTAGAGCTCTCCATAGGAAAGCATTGAAAATGCTTTTCAATGCTTTCCTATGGGGAATTGAGCGATGCTGGAGGTCCTCACACAGCGTGAGGACGTCCAGCGACACTCTAGCACAGAAAACTTGTGCTATGAAGCAGGAAATGCCCTCTAGTGGCTGTCTAGTAGACAGCCACTAGAGGAGGAGTTAACCCTGCAAGGTAATTATTGCAGTTTATGAAAACTGCAATAATTACAGTTGCAGGGTTAAGGGTAGTGGGAGTTGGCACCCAGACCACTCCAATAGGCAGAAGTGGTCTGGGTGCCTGGAGTGTCCCTTTAAGGACACAACTTCTGGAATAAAAGGGAATCATGATGGAACAGTTCTGTCATGTCAAGTCAATATTTATATTGAATCTTTCTGATTAGTGATTTAAGTCAAATTTTCCCTGGTTAAACACCTCCACATTCTCACTCAATATTCCTTTTCATATTGTTTGTAATTGTTTTTTTTTTTTAGATACAGATTGAGAATTACATACAAGTTTATGTTAATAAGCTTGGTTACATATATTAGTCATAAATTTTATAAGCAATATATATTGAGTGTGGGAATGCATTCACCACAAACATTGATGGCTTAAAATCACTAACAGACCATAACAGCCAGGTAACTCATCACAAGAAAACAACTATCTCTCCACTTCTTTAAAAAAATTTGTACAGTTTACGATTTTATTTTAAAGATGTAAACACTTAATGCAAAGTTATTATTTTACACATGCAGCTTTTCACAAGAAATTAATTGGTCACATGGACTGGCAGCCATATCAGGCTATTTGAAAATATTTAAAGGACCACTATAGTACCAGGAAAACATACTAATTTTCCTGGCACTATAGTGCCCCGAGGGTGCCCCCACCCTCAGAGTCCCACTCCTGCCGGGCTGAAGGGGGAGGAAGGGGGTTAATCCCTTACCATTTTCAAGCGCTGGGCTCCCTCGGTGCTGGGACTTTTCTCCCTCTTCTGATGTCATTGGCCGAATGCGCATGCGCGGCAAGAGCCGCGCAAGCATTCAGCCAGTCCTATGGACGCTGGCTTCTCCTCACTGTGAAAATCACAGTGAGATGCGCGGAAGCGCCTCTAGCAGCTGTCAATGAGACAGCCACTAGGCTGGATTAACCCATAGGTAAACATAGCAGTTTCTCTGAAACTGCTATGTTTACAGGAAAAAGGGTTAAACCTAGCTGGACCTGGCACCCAGACCACTTCATTTAGCTGAAGTGGTCTGTGGTCTGGGTGCCTATAGTGGTCCTTCAAACATTGTCTTCTCTGAAATTGATGGAAGGAATGAATCGAAATTTTGCACATGTCCTTGGCAAGGTCCTCCAATATGATTGATCAAAGAGAGTTAATACCAAACTCCATTGTCATGCAATTCTTACATTTGTATTTCCACCACTATTAATCTAAGTGTGTATTAAACTCATGATTACATAACTGCACGAGTGCCAGAGGAAATGATAACAGTGTGGCAGCCATTTTGAAATTAAAAAAAAAAAGTAAAACGAATGAGACTTTAGAGTTGTACAGGTTTATGATGAGCTGGAGATTATGAACAATGCTGTTCCTTTGCCGTATGTTGTGGCAGCCATTTTGGTTTAGTGGATTATTTTTTAAATTTACAAAAACCTTCTGTGATGTTGGCTATGAAACACATGAAAATATATGTGTTGAAGTACGTTATGATTTGTATTCACATTTGCTCAAGAGAAGTCTGTCATGTAGTAGAGAACCAGGTTTGGGTGGCTAAAAATATTAAAATACACATGACAAATAACCACCAAATGCCAGTTCTTGAACATGCTACATTGTGGGGATATTTATGGGATAATAATAGTAACAGTGAGAATTGCCCACTAATTCAATTCTCAGATCCCAAAGAACGTTTATCGTGTTAAGTGGAATGTATTTCATATAATTGATATCACAATGTATAAAAATAGATTTTATTTATGATAACCAATAATTAACAAATAATATTATGTAACATGCATGACAATAATCAATGAATATTCAGTATAAATTGGTATGCAATACAAAGGAATGGGTATTACGTTTCAATGGCTAAACGGCATTTTCTGTCAAGAATTCTGACGATTTATGAGGTATCCTTACACAGATTGAAAGTGAAACTTTTCACACAGAGAACAGAATTCCTCAGAGTGCAGCGTAAGGTCGTAAAGTTTAGCCGACAGTTAGAATAACCCTTTCAATGCTGGCTAGATCTCCTAGGTAGTTAAGATCTATTCTGATGTCATTTTAAATAAAATAACATTTAATCCAGTTTAAATTCATTTTCTTAAACCATCCAATAAGAGAATCTAACATTATATAAGCAGATTTTTAATTTGTCTAAAAGATATCTATCTTAATTTAGAGCAAATCAATACACCTGGATAAAAACAGCGGTATGCTAACACGTGATAATATCACATCAATATATAATTATTCTTAATTCCACCTGCAGAATGGAATGTTTATAACTATATATTCTTAGTTAACTAAGATTGCTTAATATGGAACTCTGACCGTGCTTTATCCAGTCATATATAATGCTATTAATCCATTTAATTAATTTAATTTAATTAAATGAAACCAGTATAATTACCAGTTGAGTAGATATTTCATCCGATTGGTAGTCTCTCTGCATGGAGGTGTTGGTTAGAAAGTCAGTAAATTCTAGGTGTTAGAGTTTTAGGAGTAGAGTGTTAGTCTCAGATGTTGTCCGAGTTGGAGTCCCCAAACTTCCAATTCCTCTCTCCTCTCCTTTGCATATCTTGCATCTGCCTCCCTCTCTCGTATATCTTGTATCCTCTATCTTCCCTTTGTCCTAACTTTTAAAGGGCCAGACTCTCTGTACGTCATCAGTTGATAACCCAATAGAAGCACTAGAGGTGTGGTTATCTTCCAGATCGCAAATTAGTTATTTGGTCTGTAGAGGGCAGTCTTGTCCCACTAAACATACCTATCCAGGAAAGAGTTAACTTTTCCTGGTGGCTATTTTGACGTCATTTTGCGTTATCTTTATAGCGCCATAATTCAAAATTTCAAAGGATTTCTTAAATTTTGTCCAGACTTAGCGTCTGCAATTCCTGCCATAATTTCTGATATGACAGATCATGAACTAAGTTTACCCTTTTCCATACAATGGTACCTTATATATATAGACAGTTAAATATTAAATTATTTAATCTTCTCTGTCACAATTGTCTGGGTTTAGATTTGATTATATTCTTTTAGCA